GGGAAGTCAGTATTATTTAATTCAGGTCGAGACCCACATGTAATGTGAGAGGTCGGTCAATCCCTATGTCAAGTATTATGTTCATTTAGCTTAATTCTATATTTAATACGAATTTTATGCTTCGTTTTTATAATTAGATAAAGGTAGCTTATAAAATTTGGTTCTCGTTGAAGTTGTGAAAACTTCAAAGATCATATGTTTAACATATTTCACAATTTGTTTAGGAAGTGATTGAAAAATTTAAGCGATTATAAATTGGAGATCTTTCGGAATGTATAGATAAGAAATAAGTAACAATTATAAATTCTAAAACATATGCTTAAATTATAATTTAATCATTTTCCAAACATGCATGAATTTGACCCAGGTTTGAGCTCGAACTTTTTGTGTGAAGTTGCGCCTAACAAATACTTTTAACCATAAAGCCCAGCCTGACTAAGAGTCCAATATATTATTAGGGCCCGTCCTAACAAGTCCGTGCTGTCTCCCTCTATAATTGGGCCACAATGAACTAGCTAAGGGCACGCGCTCACAAATCCAAATAAGCCGGCTTGTTTGGACTTATGGGCCAACTCATTTTTCTCTTCATTTTTAAATGATTTCAAACGATTAACAAATATAATCATAGGATGGAAGACTTGGAAAACACTTTTGTAATATCGATAATCAAACATGGAAAATCAAAAGAGCAAATTCAATATTTTGTTGATCAAGACTGAATAATTTAAAATTATTTTATTTTCAAAATATAAAAAAAATATTGAATCACTAGTTCAACAATCTGGTGACTTATCTTGGTCGAATTTGATAACTATGCCTATACTAAGCTCCTGCTCGATAGGGATTAAAATCAGATGTAAAAGTTAATTAAATGTATAGTTAAAAAGTTGTGGAACCTGGGGACCTACGAAATATATATAGTTAAAATTGATTGTTGACTTTGATTTAAATTAAGATTTGAGCCCTTGTTTAAGCCCCATTTTTTCCATCAGAATGTATTCTTCTACAATGATTTGATCAAATTTCAACGACGCATTTTTTAATAAAATAATATTATATACAAATTCAAAAATTTTACTTATTTTTTAACTAAACATTTTCCATCATAACACTATTGCAAAATGCATTTTTGAAAAA